GCGTTATGACGGCCCCAAGCGTTATGACGGCCCCAAGCGTTATGACGGCCCCATGCGTTATGACGGCCCCAAGCGTTATGATGGCCCCACGTGTTATGACGACCCCACGCGTCATGATGGCCCCACATGTTATGACAACCCTATGCATTATGACGACCCCATGTGTTATGGCGACCCCAAGCGTTATGATGGCCCCACATGTTATGATGACCCCATTCATTATGATGACCCTATGCATTACGATGGCTCCATGCATTATGGACTGTCTGGCTAGTCAGCTTCATGAAAGAAAAACACCAAGTCTAGCTTCACAGGTTTTACTAGGCGAGTCTGGGCCACCAACCTTGAGGTTAGCAGTCTAGGACAGGCCATCTGTGCCACCTAGCCTGTCTAAGGTGGGGAGGTTACACTTAACAGCTGAAAAAAAAACGGGGTGCACAGTGAATTTTTGAATGGAGTATAATTATGGACAAAGAAGCTCTGGGGCCTAGTACTAAGAGGCTTTGCAATCCCAAACAAAACTGGTTCAAATCCACCAACGGCTCCACAAAAGAAGGCCAGGCAATCTTCTCCTGGGTGATTTACTGGCTCTGAAAATCTGCTGACGTGTCCACTATAGGTCGGTTTTGACTTGATGGCACACAACAACAATAACAGCATGCAAAATTAACCTCAAGTAGTAAAACCAAACCAAAGAGTCCTGGCACACCATTCCAGAATCCACAGGAAAATTCCATTTTTGGAGGCCACTTTAGTGTACTCCCCTCACACAGGCTGTAAGTCAACACAGAGACACATCCTTGCCAAGAAAGCAAAAGAAGACAAGGCTATTTGGGCAGTGATGCCAACAGCACGATCAATATCAAAAGATGACACAGAACCTTCTGTCAAAGTGGTTTAAATAATTAAGCTGATTTCATAATGAATGAAAGAACTGAGAGTAATGGCTTAAATAATTAAGGAAGCTCTTACTGATGGGTAATTTGGCATTCTTTCCCTCAAAGCCATTTCCCCTTCTCAACCAAATATTCGTATGTTCCAAACATATCAGTGTGAGTAGTAAGAAGGAGTCAAGTAAGGTCCCTTAAAGTTGGGCACAAACCACCGTTGTAATTTAAAAGCCATCACTTGAATTTACAGTTTGGTGTCAGTAAGTTACGGGGTATGAACCCAGTTACTAGGAAAATAAACTGCCAACAGTTTTCAGATTTAGCAAACAGAGGGATAAGACACCTTGGACCCATCAACACCCCCATATGGCTCACGTCACTGCAGCAGGCCTGCGCTCATCCAGCCTGTAACACTTGAGTATGTCCGGGTACTCTGTAGACTGTGCCTCTCAGAGCTTACTGCAGATGGACGATATGGACAAAACCACCAGCAATTACAACAAATGTGACAAACACCAGGACAGACAGGGCAATGAGAGAGTATCCAATGAGTGCACAGAAAGGAGATCTAAGCAGATCTGGAATAGCAAGTACAGCCCGCCTTTAAACGGAGCAGTGGCAAATGACGCAGTGCCAGCCCGATAACACTGAGGGGAGCCTCAGAGGCAGCCCATATGCTATGTTTCATGTTTTTATGTTTACTGGGACAAAGATTTCTGACAAAGAAATTGAGGCTCGGCTCAGTGTTGAAGGTTCAAGGTTACATGATAAGAGAAGTGGAAGAACCAGGAATTGAACCCACACAGGTGGCCTGACGACTGCTGTTGTGGTGGTGGTGGTGTTGTGTGTGCCACTGAGTTGCCTGCGACTCACAGCGACCCTATGTACAACTTGGTTATTTTTATGCAACAAAAGCAATTGCTCTAATTGGGCGATTTCAGGCTGGGGAGTGGGCACGACCACACAGGGAGAGGGGACAGAGTAAGAAACGGAAGAAGGCAGAGCCTTGGGGAATGTGTGCTCTGAAGGAAGTCAGGAACTGAAACCAGGAAGGGGCACTGCGACTTAGAAGCAGCCCAGGGGAGGAGGCAGGTATGACAGATGTCAGGGAAGGAAAGGAGAGCTTTCAGACGAAGGGAGGGTCCACAGAGCCAAACGCTGAGCAGGCCTGGATGGAGGTGAGGACAACGACCCCTAGCGTCAGCAGCAAGAAGGTGCTGGTGATCAGTCATTGGCGGACCAAAGCCGATCACCTGATGAAATCATCTTGATCACCTCCTGCCACGTGACGCTGGTGTGATGGTCACCTCTCCCTCAGTCTAAATGGCAAATGGAGTAGAGTCAACACACAGACTCAGTTACATGAAGGTGCTCACACTCCCCAGTGTGTACTCTGAGTCAACATTCTGCTTTTTGAGCTGCAAAAGGAATAAGAACAATCACAAAGACAGGCATCGCCATCTTCCCACAGCTTCCTTGATGGAGGTGAAATTCCACTCTGAGCACTTAAATCTGCAAAGCTGTCACTGTTTGCAAAGGCCTGAGCAGTTCTCTTGGGCTACGGGACATGAGGCTGACATTCCCTCTCCCAAGGAGCTGGGGCTGGCCGCTGAAGGAGCTGGAGCTGGCCGCTGGAGACAGCCCAGCCCAGACACGCCCAGGATGACCTGCTCCAACTCCACCTCGCTGGCCAAGTCTTAATTGGAAACACAGTCCTGCCGAACTTTCGGCCAACTAATACAACTCAGGAGAATCGGAGAGTAGGAAGTATTTATTAGGTGCAATAAAAAGAGAGAAACCATAAAAACTTGCTTCTCCCTCATTCTTGCATTTGGTAACAATATTTGGTTTATCTGGGCTCCCAGCATCCTCTGAGCAGATTCTCAATTATCATGTTGACTTAGGAATCAATCAGAGCCATGCTAGTCTAATTATTTTATTTCCCTGTAACAGTTTATGGAGTTTGTTTACTGCAAACTACAGTGAACACCAACTGAATCACTTGGTGACAATTTGGAAACGATCCCTGGGAAGTTTACCACTAAATGACAAGTCAAGGAGACTGCTTATGCAGAGTAGGAACAAAATTGCTCTTAATTCCAGACTGTAGTTTAACAGCATCATTGCCATCAACCAGGGGGCTAACCATGAACATCAAATTCTAAGTTCTACCTGCAAGAGGAAACAGAGGCATGCTACCTCTCTTGGCCATTATAAGCTGACTAATTTCAAGCATATTTCATAAGCTGAATAAACCTTTGGGACTTCCCAAAACGGACCTGGGAAAAGAGTACTATTAAAAATCCTCACATCTGGTTTCCCTGCTTAATGTTTAAAAATGGAACGTTGGGCATTTTTAAATGACCAGAATAAAAAAAACTCACCACAAAAACCCCACACCTCCTTTCTAACTTTAAAAACAATGGGCTAACATCTGATACATACACAGAAATGTACTATCTTAGTATTTCAAGGCCGAAATGTATACATGAAACCCATAATGATACAAATAAAGCAAAATGAAAATATAAATTACATTAAAAAGGATGATGAACAGGATTGTGCAGAGATTTTTTAATCTTAATAATAGATCTAAAAATGTGAAATACTTTCAAATACATCAGAAGAAAAACATCCCATGTGTGACTCATTCCTCTATTTAGAAAAACGAGACAGGAAGTGCACTTCCAATATTGTTTACATAATGTATTAAGAGGTACCAAAACTTTATCTAAATTATCTAACTCCCCAATCTTAACTAAGCTGAATTCAGGTCCACAGGGAACTCTGGTGGCAAAGTGGTAAGAAGCTGTGCTGCAATCCCAAAAGCAAGCAATTCAAATCCATCAACTGTTCCAGGGGAGAATGATGGGAATTCTCCTCTGTGATTTAATGTCTCTGGGCTGAAGGGTGAGCTGTGAGTTGGTTCTGATTAGACAGCACACAACAAAAACAACGCTGCACCATAAATGAGCCTACCTGAAAATGCCTATATGTAATTCTTTCTTTTTCTTTTTTTATGTAATTCTTTCTATGTGTTGCCATAAAAAGAAAAATTATGGTAGTGTGTTGCCTAAAAAGTACTATGTTAACAACAGATGCACTTGGTCCAAACTTTGTTTAATAAAGAGTTGCATTTATCATACACTTCTAGTCATGCTGATTATTCAGAAAAGTTAGTAGTATTATTTTAATTAGGGAGCTCTGGTGGCCTAGTGCTAAGAATCAGCACAGCAATCCCAAAGTCACTGAGTTCAAATCCACCACCTGTTCCGTGGAAGAAAGATGGACAATCTCCTCCTGTGTAATCAACTGCCTTGGAAAACCCACTGGAGGGTCAACTATGGGTCAATCTCAACTTGATGGTATACAATAACAACAACATTATTTTAATTATCTAACAATAAATTCCATAGTCCATTGGTCCTTTTACCAAGATACATAGTGCAAAGGTCCTATAGTGATTTTTTTCCCAAATGTATTTGTCCTACTCTGAAACAAGAGAGCTCTATTTGCCAAGTTATGCATTTGAATATGTCTAAAGTATGCAGTTCGAATCCACCTGTTGCTTTATTGGAGA